ACAAACGTCTCTGCTAAATGATTTTAAAAAACCCCCAACTTTTGAACGCGGCATTCAAGCAGATTGCACATCGGAACAAAGCAGCGCTTCTCTCTGACCCCATCACTTACGAATTGGTTGGCCAACTTCAGCTACTCTGAAGGGCTAGAAAACACAAGGACAAGTTTCTCCTTTTTTTAAAAGAAACTGTGAAAAGAGGCAGCTATTGCATGGAAGTGTCCTTATCGGAGGATCTTCAAGGAAGAATGTGAACACAACCGCACTGTAAGACACCAAGAAATCCATGTAGAAAAAAATCCACTGCTTAAATAAATCACTTGCTTTGGGGGTGTTTTTCCCTTAACTTACAGCTTACACTATCTCCTTGCCAATGTCATTTGATCAAGGAAAACCTGGGAAGGGTTTTACTCCAGCGAACGCTGCCCCAAAACACAGCTTGAGGCTCATGACCATGTCAAGTTTTAATCACAGCACATTGGAGGCATTCTGCATGCGTGTACCAGGCGACGCAGCCATCGACCCGGGGCCCGCAGGAGGCTCCCAGGGCCACGGTCTGGGCTCCGGAGGAAGCTGGGGCAGCCTGCGGCACACCATGGCATTTCCACGGGGGTCAGAAAATCCCCCCACACCAAGCCCAGGTCACCTGGGAGGGGAGACACCTCAGGCAACCACCTCCAAATTAGTCAAGGAAGGCAAGCACGCTGCAAACTACCAAAGTTTACACCAGCTGGAGAAGGTTTTAGCCAAATTAAAGGACATAAGCAGAAAAAAAATTCCAGTGCTAAATCCCTCAAAAGCCTAAATCCAGGCTAGAGTCAGTTACTTAATGTCTTTCCTTTGGCTGGTAGCTGAGCGTGCCTGACAGGGAGCTCTCAATGACTTAGTCATGGGTCACACAACGAAACGGGCACATGTTGGAGGAGAGCAGGCTCCAGCAGCAAAGGCCCCTTCAAGCTCCCCAGCCAGATGGAGGAGGTCACCAGAACTGTTGTCCATCCCAGTGGGAGGGAGGGAATCACTTTTTTCAGAGTAACTCTGGGCATTTTCACCTAGCAATTTCTAAATTCACAGTTCTTGTGAGAAAGACCAACATCTTTATTCCTTCTCGATCCCATCTTGTGGCAAACACTACTCCTTGGAGCACTGTTTTTTAATAAAAGTCTTTAACTGTTTCGGAGCACGTGCTGTAGCTTGTACCATGCAGGGACAGAGCTCCACAGCTGTCTTGGTTTAGCACCTGAAGTTGTTTCCCAACCTGCAGACCACCCCAAGAACCCACAGCCGGAGTAAGAAGGGAAAGTCCAACTCAGGGAAGGCAGCTTTTACATTTTACATTAAAAAAGACTGAACCCAAGCCACTGCTGGCATCAGCTCAGCTGGACCGATGGCCAAGCGTTTACATCTGTAGCCAGTAAATAAATCCCATTTCTAGTGCCCTACCCTGAAGGCACTGAGCTGCTTTGAGCTGTCAGGTGTAGTTAGCTGGGCCCAAGCAACAGCTCTGGGGAGACACATGCCTGAAAACAAAAAGAGCTCCAAGTTAAACTCGGAGTAGTGTGAGAAATGTTGTGGAAGGTGGCATAAGTAGATCTGCATCTCTGGTGAACCTGCACCTTCCCTAGTTCTCCTCAGCAAAAACAGGCCAGTGACACAAACGCCTTCTTCACAAGGATGACCAGGACGAGCCTCTGTGCTGCCGTGACCCAGCCACGAGGCATCAGCTCCGAGCCCTCAAACCCCTTCTCCGAGCCGCCCCTGCTCCTTCACCCTGTGAAGCACAGCATCGCTTCGCACAGCGATCGGAGGAACGCTTTCAGAGAGCTGCATCAACACTAGAATCACTTCTCAGTCAGTTACGTCGCCCTGGAAGACGGCTGCTTTAGGCTTCAAGTCACAGCTCATTCCCCCAGTTTCGCTGGGATTCCATTAATATCCTCCCAATATCTCCAAAACCAGCCCTTATTCACAGCTCAGAAGGTCTTTCCTCAGACGACGCTAAGGGTATTTGGGCTGAAACCCAGTAAAACCACTGCACCCACTGAGCAACACCGATGTCCCAACGGGGAACGCGTAAGATGAGCAAGGTAACATGCACCTCACCAGGGAGGGGGGGGAAGAAAAGTGTCAACCAGTGACCTTATAACTCACTGCTCCCTTAGATGTGGGCTTAGAGTAAATCACAGGCTGAAACCCTTTTCTCCCAGTACTACAAAGGGCGCTGCCCGCTGTCCCTTTCTCCATTAGCCATCCTTGCAGCACGTCCCCAGCACACGTCCACGCCCCATCCCGGGAGGTAACACGGGCAGCCATCACCACGCAGGCCGTGCCAGAGGAGCTTTTGTACTTCACTTGAGGGCTGAAGTACAACTGCAAGGCGGTTCAGCTCTGAAGAGAGCCCGTAAGAAACACCACCCCAACTCATATGGAAAAAGAGGAAGGAGAAAGGCGGTCAGTCAGGACAGGATCTGGCTTTATTTACCTAAAGGCACAGTTCCAAGGCTAGAGATTCTGAACCCAAATTTAACAAGGGAAAGTCATTTAATAAAATCAAAGAAGGAACAGATGCTGTTAATGTGCAGCCAGCACGGCAGCTTAGCTCATGCGTTTGCAGACTGTATGCATGCCAAGGGAAGATGCTACCAGGCAGCCCAGCTCCCGCAGGGACAGGGTCTATGGAGCCAGCACCTCTCCCTAGTGGGGACTCTCCAGTTCAGAACAAAAGCTCTTTTCCCCCCTCAGCAGGGGCATAACCAGAGTTCCTCGTCTTCCCCTGGTCTATTTTCACAGAAATCTGGAGAGCTTCCTATTTTTGAGAGCTTCTGTCGAAGCTGGTTTGATGGCTGTCCGAAGCGCTGGGGCAGAGCAGAGGCACCATTCCGATGTCCCGAGTGGGACTCAAACCAGAACTGAACTTGTGTACGCCAAGAGAAAAAAGAGGGGAAAAAAGTCTATATTCAGCTAATGTAAACCACAAGTCACCCTGAAAACCACGTCATACGTGAAGGATCCCTACTGCTCTCCACGACTGAGAAAACCGATAATGCAATTACGCTACGGCAGCGCTGTATGGCCCGGCTGCCATTTGCCCGCTGTCTCACAGACCCCAGACCCAGAGCTGAGGCCCCAAGTGCCACCTGGACCGCGTCGCCACGCCAACGGCAGTGCCGCAGCAAGGGTCGGCCTGGTCCACCACCCCAGCTCTACCACGTCGCAACATGGGAGGGAAAAAAGCTTCCATCACTGTCAGGGTTTTTGCATCCAAAACAATGATTATCAGTTCTATGATGAGCTGTGGAAGGACACCTGCCATCAGGCTTGCGCTACCAGCTAAGCACAGCGCGTATTTTACTCCTTGGTGTAGCTACCTAGCGCTTTAAACCAAGTTTGCAGGCTCCTAACACTTCTGCAGCACCAGGGAGCTTTTCAGCATTCCACACGCCCGTAGGATTTTTCATTAAAGCAATTTATAATGTGCTTTAACACACAGAAGGATCATATTCTGGAGCATGAGGAAGCACCTGGCAGAGCCTGCCCACAGCAGCGGCCCCTCCATCCCAGCCTTCACCCACACCAATAACTTAGGACAAGCCTAAACCAGGAGCCTTGGTCCGGCACTTTCGAGCCTCCACAGGTTTTACCAGAGTTTAATCGTTTCCCCATGGCACTGCAATTAATCACGTATAAGGACACTTACTCGTGTTATTTCAAAGTATAACAGGAAAGTAACTCCTTCAAACTCAGGCACGGCCCGAGACTGCTACCGGAGCCCCTCGCCTGCTGACCCAACCAACGCAGGCGGATTCCCAAGGGCTGCGGGGACGCGGCCCGCTGCCCACCCCGCTCTCGCCAGCCCCGTCACCCCTCAGTGGGAGACCCTGCGGGTTCCGGCGGCCAGCCCA